AAAAATTTTAATAATAAGAAAACTTAAATAAATTATTATAAATAAATTTGATTATTATTTTGTAAATTAATCTTAAGTAAGTTTATTTACTAGATTATTAAGTATATATATTTAAAATTTTATATTTTAAATAAATATTTATTAAATAATAAATAAAAAAGATTAAAAAAATATTTTAAATTTTTTATAATTAATTTTTCAAAAAAATATAATAAAAATATTAATTATAAAAAATTTTATTAAGATAAGCTATTAAATACTTTTAAATAAATTTTTTTACTAGATTATCAGATATATATATTTATAAATTAAATAAATATTTATTAAATATAATTAAAAATAAAATATTTAGTTTTTTTTATTATATATTATAATAATTATAATAATTATAATTTATAATTTGTTATAAAATTTTTAATATATTATTATATATAATTATAATATTATATTATAATATATTAATTATAAATCTTTTTTTAGTTATAATAATAAAAATTATATAATATTAGAAGATGTTTAAATATATATAGTTTTTAATTTGATATATTATTAAATAATAAAAAGTATAAAAAGAATTATTAATATTATTTTATAATACTTAAAAAATAGAAATTTTAAAAATTTATATAAAATTCTTGTCTTATAATATTAATATTATAACTATTTTTTCTAATAAAATTAATACAAAATTATTATTTATAATCTCAAAAAATATAATATTAAATATTTAACTCACATTAATATTTATATTTTATTATAATTAGACTTTATTTTATTTTTAATAAGCATTATTATATTTATTTTATAAGAATTTATAGTTTATACTTCAAATTCTGTAAAATTATATATTATATTAATAATTATATTTAAGAAATAGTTATTTAAAAGTTTGAAAATTAAGCAATAAATAATTTAAATAAAATAAATATTAAATTTATTTTGAAACTATTTAATTATACTTTAGTTCTTATTCTTTTATACTATAATAAATTAATTGCTTTTATTTCTTTAATACTTAATAAAATTAATAACTTTATTTCTTTTGTCTTAAAAAATTGATATATATTAGTTTATTCTTGATAAAATTTGCTTTATATCTAATTCTTCATATTAAATAGTTTATTAATATTAAATAGTTTATTAATTATATCAATAAGTTTAACTCTTTATTTTATATTTATATTGAATAAAAACTATTTGTATTTTTTTAAAATCTTTAACTTTTCTTATTTTAAGCATTTTTTATTATTTATCTAATAGATTTTATAAAAATTTTCACAGAAAATCTTTCTTTATAAATCATTTAGTCCAAATGCTTTTACATTATATTATATTCTACTTTCTTTAAATTCAAAAAATTTATAGAGTTAGATATTAACATTAATCTTAACTTCAACTGGTTTTGTGTAAAATAATATTTCAAAAATACTTGTCTTGTAACAAAAGAATATAAAATAAAATCTATTAAGAATTTCTATCTTGGTAAGATAATCAAAAGACAGTATAATAATTTAAATAGCATTTTAAAAGATATACATGTACAAGATTTGAGTTATAACTAATATTTCAACAAATATTTTGATATAAATTATATTAAATTATATAAAATCATATTCCTTTATAATATCAATTTGTGAGAGGTAGGATAAATAGATTATGAGAGATGATTTTAAAATAATTTCTGCATAATATTACATGTATATTATTCAATTCATACACAGACGGTGTTAAATTTCACAAGTCATTTTGCATCTTTTAATTTATTTCTGCAAATACAATGATCTCTTTAATATTAAGTAAGTTTGTTCTGTAATGCCTAATTTCATGCGCAATATTCACATTGTACTTTGAAAAACCTTTAAACTCATTAATAGATTTCTTTGCTAAGAAATAAAGAATAAGTCTTTTTCGGCAATATTCTTGGATTAAATTTTGGATTTGTTTCTTATTCAAGAAATTTTTTGAATATATAATATAATCTATTGATATTATATGTTTTAAAGATTACATACTGTTGCCGTTGTAATGAAAAACCCATGATTAATGATTTTATGAAATCCAATCCACTGATCTATCGAGACTCCATGATTCGACGATCAAAACCTTTGTGCGCTTAATATGGAAATGATTAGAATAATTGCTTCGTTTTGTAAATTCATACAAAATTCCTACCTCGTGGTATCAACATTAACGTTGCCTCTCCTAACCATCTGAATTCTCCCCAAATATTTCTTATTGACATCTTCAAGAACATGAGTTAACAGCAAAACATAAACAAATCCATCGAACAATTTCCTTTGATCCAAAAAAATCCTTGTGAAATTCTTATAACATTCATACATAGAATTCTCGCATTTTTATTATTTCTACTTATAACAATTGACATTTGATAACGATTAGTTCTTATTTTACACTCATAATAATAATAAAGCCATGCTCCTTTTACAAACTCGTCCATACTTTGTATGTTCTGCCTCATGAAGTCTAGACCTATAGAATGGCAAGTAGTTAGAACAAGAACAACAATGCATAAAAAGATTAGCTCTCACAAAATGGAGAGACAAGTCTTATATAGTTTGAAGAAAATTAAATAAAGTTAATTATTTTTAAACGGATTTTATCTCTTTTGTGCCTTAACAAAATCTATAGCTTTGATTCTTTTGTGCTTAACAATTGAAGGCTTTGCTGCTTTGGCATACAAAGTTGATGAAACATGCTTGATTCTACGTTCTGTTTGATGACTTTTTGGAAATCTGTTATTTTTTTAGTTTGACTTGGAACGTTGAGATGCTTTTTATTTTGTCCTGCCATTTAGGAATTGACCTATTTAAAGTTTAGAAGTTATAATTATTTTGTTAGTAAGGATTGTAATTGCATTTGTTAGTAACTTGGTATTCAAATTAAAAATTATTATTTACAATACAGCGTTAATACCTATATCACCCTCTAAACCTTTTTGCCCCTTTGTTTGCACAATCTTCGTGTAGATGGGCACAGGAGACCTTTGGAACCCCACTCTGTGTAAATCATTCAGTCTAGCTCTCGTTCCTTGTTGCGTCTGGAATTCTTTAGTCAAACTAACTTTTGAGTTGCGTGTAACAATACCATAACCGAAAGAAAAAGTAATCTAGATTTTGATAGAAGCTGGACTATATCGATATCCATTAAGTGAATGATTGCTTTTCGTAAACCATATAGTTGGTGTTTCAAGTTTCACATTTGTTGAAACGAATTGAAAATTTTATGGACCACTTCTTTCTCACTCTGGAAACAAGTAATGATACGATTCAATAATAATTGATTTGTGCATAGTATATAACTTTGTTACGAAAACAATGGAAAGAAGCGGATAAATGGCAACAAGTTGATTTAAAGCGCTCAAATTCTTCAATCAACAATTGATAAATTGAAATATCCTAATGTGACTTTGAGTTATCATATTTAATAATCATGATTTTTTAAGACCGAAAATTTACGATATTAATAATATTAACACGATTTGCTCATACGTTAGGTTAGTTATAAAGAGCACTAATATAATACTATCAATGTTACTCTAGAAATTGTTGACAGTATGACCTTGAAGCTGGATATTTTACTTGATGTTTAAACAATAAAATTTCGAAGGTGTATGGCTTATTATGTTTTTATACATACATGTACATGTATGTGTATGACAGATGAAAGCGTTAACAAAGTTATTTGGCCTATAATAATAACATTAGATGTTGATAGTTTATGTTTTCAATTATATTGTATGAAATTTAAAAAATCAAAATAAAAATCAAATGCCAATGCTAATTGAACTCGAAATATTAAATGCATTAAGAACTTGATTTATTCAATGCACATACGTACAAGAGTCTAAAATCGCATTGCAAATGCATTCAATTAAAATCATTATGATCGATTCGAATAAACCATCAAACGATAATGCATTGAACTTTAACCTATTATAAAAATGAGACATTGAAGACGCTAAAATTTCAACAAAAAAAAAGTAATTTACAAATCAATAATTGAAATATATTTTTTAAATAAAAAATTCCCAATCCAAAAAAATGTTTGCAAAAGTTTCTCTCTTCTTAAACTTCGCTATCCTTCTTTTGGAATCATCCAATGTATTGTCGGCTCCGATCATTATTACTCCAACAACCCATTTCGAGAAACGTGGAATCACCCCATTTTTCTCTGGAATCACGCCATTTTTCTCTGGAATCGTACCATTTGGCCCGGCAGCTAATAGTTTAGAGAATATTAATTTTGCTGATAACAACTTTGCTGCATCGACTTCACCCGGATTCATCAACGGATTCTTCGGTCCAACTAGCGTTGCTGATTCCACAAAGCACGCTCATGTTGCCGCGTTAGATAATGCTTTCATTAAACGTACACATATAGCCCCCGTTTTTGGGCAGTTCGGCCCAGAAGCTGAAAAACTCGATAAGATCTTTTTCGCCGATAACGTATTTGCTGCATCATCATCTAATCCCAGTTTATTTGGTACAACTAGCGTTGCTGATTCCGCAAAAAAGGCTCATGTTGCCGCGTTTGATAACGCTTTCATTAAACGTACACATGTAACACCTTTTGAGTTTTTCGGTCCAGAAGCTGAGAAAATTGAGCAAATTAACTTTGCTGACCACAATTTTGCTGCATCGAGTGCACCCGGCTTCTTCGGTCCCACAACTAGTGTTGCTGATTCTGCGAAAGAAGCTCTGGTTTTCACTTTTGATAACGCCATGAATAAACGTGCTCCTGTAATCCCTTTTTTCCCCGAAGCTGAAAAAATAGAGAAAATTCTTTTCGCTGATGACGTATTTGCCGCATCATCATCTACTCCCGGATTCTTTGGTCCAACTAGCATTGCTGATTCCTCTAAAAAAGCTCACGTTGCCGCGTTTGATAACGCTTTCATTAAACGTGATCCTTCAGTTGTTCATCCCCTCCAATTTTTGGGGCCGGATGCTGAAAAACTCGAGCAGATCATATTCGTCGATAACAACTTTGCTGCGTCGAATTCACATGGATTCTTCGGTCCAACTAGCGTTGCCGATTCCTCAAAAATGGCTAATGTTGCCGCTTTTGATCATGCTTTCGATTAGTTAGTGACATTTCTTAATCTTGTAAAATGTTATATGTAGTATTGAATAACTAAAAATAAATTTAAATAAAAATGTTTTTTTTTCAATATTTACAAGATTAGAGCAAAAAATTTATTTTCTAAAAATATATTTATATAGGAATATAGTATGTTGTAATTTCGTTTAATCTAACTCCGAGAAAAAGGTTTGAATTTATCATATTGTATAATAGATGCTTTTGTTTTATATCATTAAATAATAACTATTTATAACATATTGTATTTATATAAACGCAACGCCAATTTTAAAAAATCGATATACATGTACATGACAAATGTGGACGTAAAAACAAAGAAATATTTCTACTTTATTATTATAAAATAGTAGATTACATACCCGATTCTTTCTATTTTTTACTAATATGTGCTAGCATTGAGTCTATAAATTTTCTCAAGTATAATAGTGTTCCACGCATAAAACACAACTTCTTCCAAGTCAGCTTCTGTCTGTGAATTTTGTTCTTATAAATAAATACAGCATTTAATCTTCCTATACATTTCAATTGGATTCAGTCTGGTGACTGTAGTAACCACTCATTACAGATTTTTGCTCTATGAATTGGAACATTATTCTTTTGGATTATTGCCTCATGGGTAAATCATATTAAATAAGAGTCTTATACTCTCCATTTTAAATAATTTAGATTAAGTTACCTCGGATCAAAATAGATTTACATTCACTTTAAACAGTTGCATTTAGGATCGTAATGCTCATCTTTATGACGCCAAACATGGATTTTCCATATGGATCAGTGCTAATAGAGGATTCATCAATCCAACCCATTATCAATCATCATTGATCCAATTCTAGCACAGCTTTTTATTAACAATTGGATTTTTACGTTCAATGTTAGAGTGGAGTGTGAATATCATACTTTATCAATGCATCTGGGAATATATTATTATGAAATTCAGTAGCAAGTAGATATTTTGGCATCCGTCTTAGCATTAGATTAGCTTTAAGTTTTCGAAAAATTAAACACTGTAACAATAATTAACCATTAATTTTAAACCATAATGCTTTTCGAATAACCAACATTCTTGATTAATTTTATTCGTTGGTACAGTTTTAACATTAATAAACCGATCATTAAAGAAAGTGCGAACAGAAATGCTGCATATGATGTGAATTCTCCTTCATTAGATTTTTTCGATCCATTTGTATATAAATTTTGAATTCCTTTACAAAACGATAAGAGGCGATCCAGAACCCGTGATCTTTCCGTCATGACCTGCAGGTGATCGACCCGTACTACCTATGTAGGTACATGATTTTACATGTATTTATTGCATTGATTTTTGTATCATTTATATTAATGTTTACTCGCTCAAATGGTCGTCAGCTAAGGTCGTTATTTTAACTTTTACTGAAAGATTGATTTTAAACATTGTTTTTACCTCGATTTTTGCATTCGCAGATACACCAACATCATGGTATTTTGTCTCGTTCTAGGTGAAGTTCCTGCTAAAAGGAAACTTTTTGTGGTTGATATTACCGAAAATATTTTGACCGTTTCACATCTTCAGTCCGCCATCAAGAAGGCGAAGGAGAACACCTTTGGTTATATTGATGAAATGATCTTATATTATGAAAGTTAATATTCTTATAAACGATGAAAATAAGCTGAAAATACTTGGTGATATGTCCCGTAAAATTGATTTTGAACAAGATCTGAAAGGTATAGAACTGTTTCCAGCAGATGGAATTCCAGGTGATTTCTCTGAGCAACCACTCTCCGTTAAGATTATTCATATCATCGTGCAACCACCTATCACCACAGGTAAGCGTACTTCTCAAACAAAATTTACAGTTATCTCATATTTTGCTATTTTATTCAACCAGGAATCACTGGTGGATTACTTTCTATTCCAATGAAACGACCGGGGTGAAACTCAAATCTATAACTGTAAACCTGTTTCTCCTCATGAGGGCGAATTTTGGAATGAACTTTCTGAAGCGCAAATTGTCCTTAAATTGCAGATAATATTGACACAACTACGTTCATGTTAGGACCATTATCCGAATACATGAGTGTTAAAGGCAACGAAATTATTCTGAGTAACCGTGTAATGTTAAATGCACAAGATGAGCTAATACTTAATAATGGTGAATCCGTGGTAGAGGAATCAGAAAAGATCACAATGAATTTTGTAAAATTTCTACGTCTCCGTAAATCTCCAGATGGAATAGTCTATAGAATATCAACACAGGATATACATGTATTAATAAAGTCATACTTGCAGATGATTGAAAAGATTGAATATGGAGTTCATCATGACAAAAGAGGATGTATCATAATCGGATCACCTGGCATTGGAAAAACACACTTTTCCTTATACTTAGCTTTCTATATAATTCGTCGGTATTCCCCAGCAGATATCATCTATGAACAGCTATTCAAAAGCTATGACTATGCTCTTCGTATCAAACCCAACGCGAGTGCAATGAGAATTTCTAATCTACAACTTGAACATCCACATGATAGCTTTTATATTGCTGATTCTGTAATTCCTGCTCCATGGAAAACGAGATTCACATCGCTGCCTATATTTATAAGATCATGTACGAGGTTTTAAAGATGAGAGACCATTCGGTGGGCGAAGTCATAATCATAATCTCGTATATGACATCTTTTGAAGGAGTACGACCTATGATATCAAATAAAGTTCCTGAATTGTGTAAATTTATTATTGAGATCCTATTTCCGGAAACAGACCAACTGTTGAGTAACTTGAAGACTTTATCGGATCTATCTACTATGACCAAATTTTGAAACTGAATTCTTTACATTAACAGTACTTCAGTTCTTTAGGATATTTTAAAACAGATGAAGAATTAAAGAGAGTATTGAATTAGAAGAAAAACAGAAGATAAAAAACATTCATATGAGTATTAGCAAAAACAAACAATTCACTCAAATGCATTTTACACCAGTCGAATCTTTATCTCAAAATCAATATCAATTCAGTTGATACAGGTACGTGAATTTATTTTTATATTCAATAAAAATTACGTTTCAGATTAATTTGAATAGATCAACTATTTTAGTTTCTACAAGTCTATGTTTGTATGTTCAAACTAAGGTAAACTTACATTTGATATTGTTTTCATCAATTTCTTTAATTAATTATTTTCTTTTGATGATAAAAACAGATTTCGATAGTATACCACACGAACTCGAAGAGAATAAGGATGTGACGAATGACTTGCAAGATAACTGATTTTAACACGAACCAAAAATGATTTCAATTTTATACTCTCATCAAATTTTATATCTCTTAGTATATTATAGTTTCATAAACAAAAACCCATCATTTTCTGCTGCCGGAAAATCCGATCCCTGATACATGTACTGATGATCAATATCCGGCAAAAAACTGAAATTAATTATATTAAATGAAAATTGAATAACTTTGCACTCTAATAGCACATCAACGAGAAAAACAAACCTTACCAAATTTGGAATATATGTTCTTGAGGTCATAAATTAATATTAAAGAATTGACTATTAATACAATTTATACAATTTTAACTATTCTGTGTTCGAATCTTTTATAGATCTTAGAAGTCTGACATCTCAAAATTGTATAATTATCAATTATTTTTTGATATTTTAATAATTTATGACCTCTCTCTCTAAGAATATATCTCCAAATTTGGTAATATTTGCTTTTCTCGTTGATGTGCTATTAGAGTGCAAAGTTATTCAAATTGTTTATAGAAGTCAAATTGTACATAATGATTATTGATATTTTAATAATTTATGACCTCGAGATATATATTCCAAATTTGGCAATGTTTGCTTTTCTCATTGAAATTAGAGTACAATTTTTATTTAATATAATTAATTTCACTCATTTTTTGCCGGATATTGATCATCGGTATCACCGATCAGATTTTTCATGAACGAATGAATCATTGAACGATATTGTTTATTACTTTGACCATGCGAAATCACCTTGTAGATGTTTTTTATACTACGCACATCAATCAAATTTGAATTATCTACACCCCAGTCGTTATGTATCTACCGGTACCCTCAAAGGCATCGCCATTATCAATTCTTAATAATATTAATTATTAAGATTTTTTTTTGTAAATTTTAATTTTTACCGGAATTATTTTTTTAATTTTATAATGCTGGCCAAATAATCACATGATACAAAATTATAAATTTGGCACCCTAATTTTGATTTTTTTTGTGGAACACGTGATTCTTATTTGTTTGTTTGTTCAGCTACGGATCATGTGATTTTTAAGGGGTAAACCAATCAAATAGGTCAAAATGTGAAACGGAAAAATTCAAAACAAAAACAAATGTTTACTTTCTTATAAACAATTACTTTCTTATAAACAATTACAAATGAAATTTTTACTTGGTGGATGGCATACAAACAAAGAAATGTGTAAACATTAATTTATATTTTTTCGGGCTATGGAATCTTTAATTTGGCAATACATCTTGGTGTTCGTTATTTGGATAAATTAGAAAAAGTAATAGATTATCAAGCTACCTGTCATGTTTTGGATAATATTCAAACAGGTGGTACTTATATTTTTGTTGGGTGGGATTCTGAAATTTGGAATACATTGTGGAAATTACTAAATACAGTTTAAAACTTTATCCTGGATGATCTCGCTTCTGCCAAGGCTAATATCACCATCGTACAATTAATTCAAACTTCACCAGAGTAACGAATCAAGACGTCAAACATCCTATTAAAAAGATGACAACGTGAAAGACAAAGAAATTCTTAATTCTCAAAATCAAGAAACTCATAATTACTTTTTATTTTAAATGGATCGCGACCCCCAACAACAAACACAGCCATCTTGTTAGAAAAAATAATTATTCATGATTAGCAACAAAGAGTTCAACGTCAAACATTACTTAAATATGTTTGTTCAGTTAATTTACACATTCCGGACATTTCTTTGCCTTTGATGAAGCATTAGAAACATTTGATACCAAGTATATTAAGCAAAATATTGAATTGAATTTAGATGATGTTGATGCGTGAGAATAATATATTATAAGTTTATTCTCACGTAATAGATGAACTATATATTTATAAGCTACTCTTTCATTGTATTTTTTTCAATTTCACACATTTTTCATTATAATTAAATATCTCAATTTGCAAATACTTTATTTTTTATATTATATTTTTAGCTAACATTGTCATCACCATAATTAAAAAATGAAATTATAGTGATATATTTCCCTAATAAACAAATTGATACATGTTTCAAACATTAATGCAAATTGATTCTCGGGGTCCTTTAATTAAACTTGGAAAAAATATAAGTTATTTGGTTATACTATTATAAACTTTTTAAAACTGATATTTATATATCATTTATCATATAGGATCGATATATCAGATCTCCTGTGAGAATTAAAGATTGAATTGCAGCGTTGGCTTATGAACTTGATTTGACCTCAATTTATTATAAATTTCGTATGACTGTAGTTTTTGATTAGCTGAAACCATCCGAGTTATTGCTTTCCAAGTCATATTAATAAAACGATTTATCTTGTTGTGGGTTATCGGGAGATCTTTCAAGATTAGTTTAGAACACTTTGTTGTTGGTTATCAGAAACCTTCTTCATACCATTAGATACCAATCTTGGCCATTTATATATCGGTTGATTTGCATACAAGTCACCACAGGGGAGGACTTAATTTCAGAATATGGATTGTTTATAGTGAAGCTCATCCACAATTTGTATGTAAGGTTTGAAGATAATCAAATAAAAGTAATGTATTTACAAGTAAAGGAATTGTTAAAGGTAAGTACTATAATTTTTTTATTTGATTAGTTCATAGGATAACATCTTGCCTTTTTATACAGATTGATCAATACTAATACTATATTACTCTACGCTAAAACTATCGTTCGTGGAGAATAAGATCGAGGATAATACAAAAGATGATAATAAAGGAGCATTGAAGTGAAAAAGGATATGAATATAAAAACACTATTAAGGATGTATGTTCTTAAACATAATAAATAAAATTAATAAGGGCAATAATAAAAAAACTTACGAACGGTGTTAGAATCAGTCCAAATTATTCGTGAAATTATGGGCTCACGATTCTCAAGGTAAATATGGTAACAATATTGATGTCAGTGTTTAATTGTGTTGATCGCAAAGTATTAAACTTTTAACGATAATAATTTTTGGCTGTGATGGTTAATTATTACTATAATTATAATGTTCTCGAACTACATGCACTGTCACGGTACAGTTGTGGTTGGGCGGAATTCATGATCTTTGTTCTGTGACAAGTGTTGGGAGAGAGTGATTAGACAGTACAGTTTTTGATTATTTGATCTAATTCTTGTGTCGATATTTACGGATATCGTTCTGCGTGGGCGTTTTCAAAGAGAGAATAAAAGTGAATATTACGGTTTAATGTATGGGAATTGGAGAATGTTAGGATTATTTGCAGTGTGGGAATTTGGAAAAAATAGGAATTGGTGGGTCGATAGGTTAAACTTTGTATTAATCAATTAATTCACTGAAGCGTTTGTCTTTTCTGACATAAAGAACTTAACCAATACGTTGTCTTTTCTGGCGTAAAGAACCTAACCAATCTATAATGATTATAATTACGATGCCTTTACGAAGGGAATTTTTAACAGATGGTTTTTTTAGCTTTCTATTATCTTTATAATCTTATTACATTGTTAGAGCACAGCAATTCTAAAATAAAAGTAAAATATTAGAGTACGACTAAAGAGAAATAATCGCACCGAATCATCACAAACAATCGTGCTGAAAAATGTGTGCGATTGTGCTGAAATACGCGGACAATTGGGCTGAAAAACGTATACAATTGTGCTGAAAGATGCAAACGATTGTGTTAAAAACGTGTACAATTGTGCTGAAAAACGTGTCGAATTACGTGATTTATTTGTATTGCTGAGAAGTTTGCAGTTGGTGAATCCTAGCATAATTCCAGGAAATAAGGAATTCGGTGAAATTATGGTAACAGTACATATTATCACGAAACGTTAATTATTCTAAAAATGGGGATGATATCCTCGTTTAAAGAATTTTAAGGGAAAATTACGAATCGAACGTTACTACAGTAACATTAATGACATATGCCACATAAAGTTAACGAATCGTCTCATTCTAAAAATTTGGAATAACGATATATTAAATTGTTTATGTCTTTTTCGTGCCATACCGATTGAACAATCTTACAATAATTTTTCCGCGTGGAGTGGGTATTCTAATCGAACTTACCTTTAGCCTCCAAAATCTGATCTACAACGTTACGGAATAACTGGAAGCGAAAATTCGTGGTGATCACATGTCACGCTCACTGATAAATACATGGTTATCGGAAAAATACTTCCCGAGCTTACCTTATAAAATTTTTGTGACATAATTCATAAAAATTAAAAAATATAGTATAAAGCATAAAAGTAAATTAAAATCAGACCTCTATATAATGACGCCTTTGTTGATTAGTGGAGGCCAAAAATTCTTACGTTTTATAATTGTTTGGGAAATGAATAAATATGACTATATTAATTTTGTGTCTATATGGGTTGTGACTATAAATAGGTCTGACTTATATTTGTATAAATTCTAAAAATGATAATAGACGACAAGAAATACGCTAGTGATGAATAAAGTAGCAATTACATGATATGATGTGATAAAATCATGCAAAGATTATAAAATATTGCGAGACACATTTCTTGAACATATTGTATTGTGATTTTTTTGATCACAGGCTATTTCTCGATTTGCTTTGGATAACTATACACGAAAATCTACTGGAATTTCAACAGTTTTATTCTAATTTTTTTAATATTTGTGTATGCTTGTAAAGCATTGTAAATAATCAACAAATCCTGTTTAAAGTTATTCTCTAAACTTCTTTAATTTGTAAGAAGTACACATTTTATACTAGATTCGAGTTTTTAAGTTTTGAATCGTTCATGTAGCATGTCACGCCTGAAATGTGTGTCAGGGTTAAGCCACAGTTACTGAACCCAGCAAAATTCGTAATAAACGTTAAAGATTAATTTTGAGATCAAGAGGGTAGAAATCAGGATTATATGTAAAATGGTTTTCCTGTCATTTGTGTGGGTTAGTTTTGTAACCTTGTAACTGTGACTTAACTTGGCTGCCAATTACACGTGCAGTATCATGTGCGACTTTACTTCTTGTAAAAGTACGAAATCATTTCCGAAATACACATGTAATGTAATTTTTCATTGATTTAAATGTGAATTCCGATATTGTTTTTGTCTGAACGTATTTTATTACGTTCAATTCCATGTTCATGTATTCCTAAATTGAATATTGTATAGCGTTTATTTTTCGTGCTTTTCCTAAATTACATATGGGCATTTCCATGTGGCAAAATGAAAATGCAAAAATTAAATTACATTACTTTACGTGCACATCCTAAATTAACGTGCTTGCCGTTATTTCTTATAGAGTAATATGTACAATTTATTATAAATTTTTAAATAAACTCTTTTTTTAAAAATAGTCTGTTTATGGAATTTACGAATTAAAATCTTATTAATAATTAGGAGACACAATAAAATGAAACCAAAGTTTTGAATATTAATCGAATTTTTCTAATTCGAGTAAAGTCAAACTTTTAAAAAACTTTGACTTGAATACTTTTTGAGTTAAAATTTGATACAGCCCCCGGCGAAAAGAATGGCGGTGAACGTTTTCGCCTATAACTTAACAATGGAGCGTCCAATACTTATGAAAATTTGTAGATATATTCTTTAGGATATTACGAATAAGAATTTCTAATAGCACAAGGCATGTTTGCTTAATAAACTTTTGAGTAATTTTGCATCAAATGTGGTGGATTAGGTGTTTACATGAATAACTTTGAAAAAAAATTATTTAAAATTATTTCTAATAAAATATTTTTGTAAAAATATATTTTAAAATATAAAGAATATATTTATAAGTTTAAAAAAATTTTTTATTGCATATTTATTTAATAAATACCAGTTAAAAAAGACTTTATTTTGATGAATTTTATAATAAATCATAGTAAAAATCCATTTTTACTATTTTACTATAATTTCTTTATAAAAATTATTAAAATAAAGCCTTTTTTTAACTGGTATTTATTAAATAAATATGCAATGAAAATTTTTTTAAACTTGCATATATATTCTTTATATCTTAAAATACATTTTTACAAAAATATTTTCATAGTTATTAAAAATATTTTTAAATAATTTCTTTTTCAAAGTTATTTCATGTAAACCCCTAATCCACCACATTTGATGCAAAATTCTGCAAAAATTTTATTAAGCAAACAAGCCTTGTGCTATTAGAGAGTCTTGTTTGTAATATTCTAAAGAATATATCTACAAATTTTCATGAGTTTTGGACGCTTCTTTGTTAAAACATAGGTGAAAACATTCATCACCATTCTTTTTGCCAGGGACTGTATATTACATTATAAAATAATTATTTAGCTATATTTTGTAGAATTCATCATTTTTTTACCTTTTCATTTAGATCTTGATATTTTTTATTCTACTTTCATTTACTCTTTCTCTTCTTCTTCATTTTCAAATCTACTAATCTTTATATCTTGTCCAATATCAATCATGTCAAACCAATCAATGAATTATTTTTCTCAAGTCTTTTTATAATTGAAATTAATTAGAATTAATATATTAATATTTAATAAGATTATATATTGATTATTAGTAAAATCTTATAATATATTATTTACTTTTTTTTATTAATAGCTATTCTCTTTGATCAAGTATTTAATATGATATCACATATTAATGATGGTATTCTTAGCAAGATGATAAATAAAAATCACATAATCACAATTAATAAATTTTGAATTGTAGCTAGTTGCAACTTAGTAAAAATCTGATGACAAATAAGTATTATATAATTGTAATAGTCAATCAGAAATTATAACATATATATTATAAGTATATATGATTCAGTATGAAAATATCCATACCTCGCAATAATCTTAATAAAATCAGTTTCTATATATAAATTTTTTTTTAAAAAAAATAAAAAATGAATAGGTATTCAGATTTATTATATCATAAAAATTTTATTAAAATTTGTTATCATTATCAAGATCGTTATCATATCTGTTTTCTTATTTAATAAAATTATATTATTATCTGATTTTTTATATTCTTTGGCTCTTGTGAGTGCTCTTTTCCATAATTCTACTATTACTTTTGATGTTATTTTTTCTTTAAAAGCTTTTAAAAGCTTGTTCTTACTGTTTAAGAGATTTAAATTTGAGTCTGACTTCACTACCTCACCTTTTACTATTGTTTAAATACTCTTAATTGGCTAAAGCTTGCAATGGTAAGAAGATGTAAAAAAAACTTCATGACCATATTGTTTTGCTATCTTAA